GGCTTTCAGTTTTCTAATGTTTCCATTGTGTATCATCTATCAAATTCTTCTATATCACCTCCCACCCATGTGTCATATACTGGTCTATGCTTGTTGATATTATTTTATAGTATGTTATAGTATGAAACTAGTAAGACCAGTGCTTCCATATCCTTCACTTACTGTAAATTTTCATACTTCTTTGTGTTTTTATGTTGTAAAATATACGTGATCCAAAGTTTGGCATTTTAACCTTTTTAGTGAAAAATTCAGTGGCATTAAGTACATTGTCAGTGCCACCAGAATCCTTTTTCAAAACTTTCATTAAACATCTTCCATTTTTTTCCCTCATTCCAGGCCCTGACAACTACCATTTTACTTTGGGAATTTGACTATTCTAAGTACCTCATGTGAATGAAATAATATTTGTATTTTTTAGTTACTGGCTTGTTTTGTATAGCATAATATTCTTAATGTTTATGTTTATTGTTGTGTAACTGTCATCACACCTTTTTAATGTCAGACAGAAGCTCTCTATAAAAAATAACTCCCCAATGTCCTCTTTCTCAAGCCTCTGGTAACTTCTAATCTGTCTTTATGAATACCTATTTCAGTCACCTCCTCTAAATGGAATCATACAATATTTGTCCTTTAGTATCTGATTGGGTTTGCTTAGCATAATGTCTTCAAAGTTTGTCCGTACATGTGTCAGCTTATTCCTTCTTCTGGCCCAGTGGTACCCACATTTTGCTTTTCTGTTATCTGTTGGTGGACCTTAGGACTGTTTTTACCTTTTGGATATAGGGAAGAGTGCTATATGAAAACATAGTGTGCATAGCCGGGTGTGGTGGCTCCTGCCTATAATCCCAACACTCAGAAAGCTGAGGCAGGAGAATTGCTACGGGTTCAAGGCCAGCCTGGGCTACATAGTGAGCTCAGGGCCGGCCTGAACTACAAAGAGAGACCCTGACTCAAAAAACAAAACAAAAACAAACAAGAAAAAGAAAACATAGCATGGAAGAATTTGTTCATGACTATTTCAATTCTATGCCAAGGAGTAGACTAGCTGGTAATTATATATTTAATTTTTTATATGATAATTTTGTGATTATCTATTTTGGGATCCAATATAATTCCACAATGGCTGTCCTGTTTTTACATTTCCACCACAGTGTACAAGGCTCCAGTTTTTACATATTATTGCCAACATTTGTTAATGCCTCCTCGCTCTCATTCTAATTTACATGTAATTGTTCTGGTTTGCATCTCACTAATAATTAATGATATTGGATATCTTTTTATGTGGCTGGCCATTTATGTATATTCAAAGTCTTTGCCTACTTTTACAAATTTTGGGGGGTCTTGCTATGTAAATCAGCCTGGAGTTGAATTTGTAGTGATTCTCCTGCCTCAGCCTCCAGAGTGCTGGGATTGCAAGCATGTGCCACTGTGCCTAGAACTTTGCCTTTTTTTGTGAATTGTGTTACTTTGCTGTTGCTGTTGCTCAGTTTAAGGGCTCTTTATACTATTTATTCTTAATATTAATCCCTTTTGAGATAAATGATTTGCAAATGTTTTCTGTGGTTTGTTTTTTTGCTCTCTTGGTATATCTTGGATGCACAAAAGATTTTAGTTTTAATGAAATGTATCATATCTTTTTTCTTTTTTTAACTGTTGTCATACTCAAGAAATTATTGCCAAATCCAATATCATAAAGATTTTTCCCTATGTATTTTCTTGTAACAGTTTTACAGTTGTATGCCTTGTATTTAGCTCATCTATTTTTAAATTAATTTTTATATATAGTATAATACAAAAGAATTTGATGCCCCCTGTCTTTATTTTGCATGTGACTCTTCTGTGTTCCCGGTACCCTTTGCTGAAAAGAGAATTATTTCCATATTGAGTTATTTTAGCAACCTTGTCAAAGCTCTTTTTTACCTTGTGTTTGAGAGTTTATTACTAGGTTCTGTTGTTGATTCACTTGGTCTATACATCTGTCTTTATCCTAGTACTACATTATTTATTGTGTATTTTTATAACTTTCAGATACATATTTGCTTGGTCCTTTAAAAATTTTTAATATTAATTTAGTTTTTAACTGATACATGAGAACGTAAAAGTTGTACGTATTAACGGGATACTATGTAATGTTCAATACACGTATACATTACATAATGTTTACAACAGATTAAATGTATTTATATCCTCATACACTTATCATGTCTTTATGGTGAAGACTTTCAAAATTACTGTTCTAGCTTTTTAAGCATGCAGTATATTATTCTTATCTATAGATGCCTATAGGTACATAGAACACCTTTTAAAATTAATAAAGTTTTTTGCATTGCAATATGTTTTTCAACTTTTGTTACATTTATTTGGTAACTTAATAATCGATTGATGTGCGTATTTATAGTATCTCTTATTCAGGGATGTTTTTTTTTTTCCCCCAGTTTATTCATTTTCTTTTGTTACCAAAGGATAGAAGCTAATAGTGTTTCAACATTGCTGTCTTTAAATATATACTAGGATCAGTCTGTCTTTATTTGTTTATTTTTGGAATCAGGGATTGAACTCAGATCCTTGCCTGGCCCAGGATCTGTCTTTAAATATGTGTGACCTCTATCATGTGCATTTTAGAATGAGATTGTCAGATTCTACACAAATCTTTTTGATAATTTGACTGGAATTATATTAGAGTTGTATTTGCCTTCAGCATGCATACATTTGAATTATCTAATATTATGTTTTGAAAATAATTGATTATTCATTTTTGTTATTGGTTAGCACTTGGTCAGGAAACATCTTTGTTTTCTATAGCCACATACTTCATAATGTATCTTATGGGTGAAATTATCTTTTTTTTTTTCATTAAGTTTATTGGTACTTTTTAGGTATACAGTACAGTTACATTCATCATTGGGATCTTGTACCTTTACCTGCTGTATCTTGGTTCTTTTACCCTATACCCCCTGTCCTCCCTTTATTCCCTCCACCTTCCCCTATTTACAAAGTTAAGTTATTTTTTAAAGTGTGTATTGTGTTAGAAAAAGAAGTATTTTCTTAGGAGAACCATGAGTATCTGAACAATTAATCTTTTCATCATTGAAGAACACATTCTATATTTATAGAACTTGTAAAAATTTCACTGGGGAGAAAAATAAATTGATCTTTAGGCTTTCATCTTCAGTAAAGAAAATGCTGTGGTATACAGTACTCTTGTTTAGATGCTTTTCTCATTCAAAGTTGATTCTTGAGCCTTGAGGAGTGGATTGACTTGATGCCTTTTTATAATTTGTTTGCTAAGTCTTATGATTTTGAATATTTGATTTTTTAATTTCAGATCTAAAACTAAGGAAAATTGCCCCAAAGTAAAAGGATAAGAAATGTAACAGCATTACATTTACATTTACATTACATTTACTACTCTTTTTAATCTGATACTACATTGATAGTAATTGGATAATGTAGTTTTAAAATTTATAACTTATTTTTCTATATTCCCAATCATTTCTCTTAAAAAAATTGGTACTGATCTTTGTAGGCCTTGTTTCATTTAGTTCAGTTACCTTATATTTTTGAAATTATAAACTATTTTAAATGTGTACATGAATGCAGAGAATAATATCACATGTATCACTCAAATTTAACTAATATATAGTATTTCCTTATTGATATCAGATTTGTCATTATTTTTAAAAGAAATGTAGAAAGTTGAGTGCTTACAGTGTCTGTTCCTCCCCCATTAGGGCTATGCACTATCCAATGGGGTTTAAATCTAGCTCAAGTTTTAAATTTTATTTCATATCTATACACTCATACATGATGGTATGCCTAGTATTTTTATTAGAAATAATGTGTCTATCATACCAAAACTTGTTTTTTATTCTACCTTATATTTTAAATATTTATCCCTTGGATTTTAAATGATTTCCTATGTAGGTAAAATTTATTGTCACACTCCAAACTTTATTTTGTACTCTTCATTTTGCCACGGCCTGTGTGGCTGAAGGGTTCACAGAGTGAGAAACGATGGTGAGAGATTAAGAAAGACAAAGTGATATAATAAGGTATAGGTGGTGCCACATGGGCCTCTAATTCCTGATGGGAGGAAAAGACCACCAAGCAAATAGCGGCCCGTTTATTTACAGTGGCAAAGGTAAGGAAGTGCAGGGGGAGGTAAAGGGGCTAGTCTGAAACCGGAGTTAAGGTCTGTAGGACATCGCCTGTTTCTCTGGCGAATGGGCCGAAAGGAAGATAGCCCTCTTCTCAGCCAGGCCTTGCTCCACCACGCATGCGTGCTCTCTTGTCCTCGCTTGTTGCTTGTTCTTCCATTGGGGCCCAGCCTGGTCTGTGGGAGGAAGCAAACAAGATGTGTTCCTCGTTCCATGCCTGGCCCTGCCTCATCCGCTAGAGGAGGCGAGTTAGGCCTGGCCATAGTCATCTACAACGCAGTGCTCCAGAACCATTTTATGTGTTAACGATGCTTGAAATATATTAACAGTTAGCTTTGTCTCATAATGGTTTCATTACTCATAGTTTTGATTATCAGGATATTTATGGTCTTGGAATTTTACTTTTAAATATTCTTTGACTTGTTATTTAACACTGATTTAGCTGGGTCTGCTGTTGCACTACTGTAAGCCCAGCATTCAGGAGGCTGACACAGGAGGATCACTGCAAGTTTCAGGCCAGCTTGAATTACATAGTGAGACTTTGTTTCAAACCACCCCCCAAGAAAATAATACTCATCTACAGTACTTTTGTGCTTATTTTGCATGTATGGTCGTGTAATATGGATATCCTTTTTCCTCTGAAGCATATGAGGAACTACAAGGGAGAATAGAGATGAGAACGTCTTAAATCTGAATTCCTTTTTTTTTTTCACTGCCCAGATTATATTCTCTTCCATTTGGGAATGTATTTGTAACCTGCTAGAATTTTATTTTGAGTGTGTACCAGTTGTTTTTCTGGGGGGGCTTTATTAGAAATGAGTATAATACAATTCTGTTTTGCAGGGATTCACAACCAAGTAAGACAGTAGATAACACATCTTCAAAGCAGGCTTTACGCACTAAAGAAAAGCGAAGAGATGATGACATTTCTCTTAAACTATCTGATACTCAGCCTAAAGGTTTGTGATCTTAGAAAACTGTTTGGATTTGAACTTTTGCCTACTGATTTTATAATACTTTTAAGTTATAAAATTCATCTTACTTTGAAAGCATATAGGAAAATAAAGAGAGGTTATTTAGCAATACAAAGTAAATGGCTAAATCTACTATTAATGTACTTCAGTACCAATACTAAAAGTTAAATTTGAGGGTTACTTCTGTGGGATCTACAGTTGTAGCTCTAAAGTTTTGCTATTTTAGTTATTTTAAGTGTTGTTTTCTTAAATATTGGTTCTGCCAACTAGATTTTTTAATGTTTCCTACTACTCTACTATGAAATACATTTTCTATTCATGAAAATTTACTTCAATTTTAGGATGCACATATAATCTAGAAAATATTAAGGTAAATACATCACACACTTCTGAACATTCTTTGTAAGCCCCCTTATATATGGGCTAAAGGGTTTGATAAACTTTCTCCTTTTTCATCTCTTTCAAGGTTTAAAAATATTTTACTGAATTTGTACAAGAAGAACTTACTGCATTAGCTGTTTGTGACACTAACCCCTTCAAAGATCTCTTGGCCTGTTGACAGCTCAGCACAAGTTGAAATACAAAACTTTCTGAGTGATTTTGTTTTTCATAAGAAGAAACCTTCTTCTAATTATACTATGGGAAAATTAAAAAAAATAAAGTGCACTTCATTTCAAACACAGCTACTTAAAGATATTTTTAGTAGCCTTTATAATAGAAGAAAAAAGTTAAAAAGAACTAGACTAAGTTACTTTCATGTATATAAGAAGCAGCTGAAACTCTTAGGAGTGCAGTCTGTAGATAATAACTGTGACTGAATAAAGGAAAAACTTGCACTTAAGTCACTAAGTACTATCATCGTATAATGAAAAACATATTTTGAAAAGTATACTTTTATTAGAAATAATTATCTTTCATTACAGATTAAAAATACATTTATATAAGTGGACTACTCAGATACTGTCAAGACAACCTTTAGGCCTCACATTCCACTGCTTTCCTAGCTAGAGTAGGAATATTTTTGTTCTTTAAAATTTTTTATTTTATTTTTTATTTTTTGGTTTTTTGAGACAGGGTCTCACTATGTAGTTGGGACTGACCTGGAACTCACTATGTAGCCCAGGCTGGTCTTGAACTCAAAGTGAATCTCCTGCCTCAGCCTCCTGAGTGCTAGGATTATGGGTGTGTGCCACCACACCTGGCTTGTTTTGTTTTGTTTTTGAGACAGAGTCTCTCTATGTAGCCCAAACTGGCCTGCAACTCACAGCAGTCCTCCTGCCTCAGCCTCCTAAGTGCTGGTATTACAGGCATGTGCGACCATGCCAGGCTTTAGGAATATTTGAACAACAAGCTTTTAGATTTGTGCCCTTAAGTGTATAGTCTTCCCTTCATATCTATAGAGGATCAGTGGTTTCAAAACACTCCCCATCTAGCCCCTGGAAAACAGTAACATCTCTGGGTGTTTCAGTCCTTTATATGAAATGATTTAGTTATTTGCATATAATCTATGTACATCCTCCTATATACTTTAAATTATCCCTCAATTACTTATAATACGTAATATAATGGAAGTGCTATGTAAATATTTGTTGTACTGTATTGTTTACTGAATGAATAATGGAAAGAAAAAATATCTACATATTCAGAGCACACGCAAACATTGTAGACAGAGCTACATAGAATACTGTCTGCTTGTGATTGAATCTGTGAAGTGATATAGAGGGACTGACTGTTAACTCAAAGTCACAGAATTTTAGATCTGCATCATGGGAAAAGTATATAAATAAACCATTTTTTTTAATCTTAGAAGGTAAACTTGTAGACAGAGTATTTGTAATAAACTTAACTGCTGAACTTTTATTTAAACTCAGTATAGTTACTCTCCTATAGATAATTGTATCTAATGCTAGTTATTTAACATTAACTTATAAAATAATGCAAGTTGTGACTCAAACCCCAGGTGAACTATTTCTTTGATAGTATGTTAAGTTTGCCTTGTGGTGTTTAGTTTTATCATCATATTATATTGGGAATGTTTAATATTCTTTTGTTTATAGGTTTTTTTTTGTCACCTATTTAATTTAATTTAATTTTTTTGTTCTTTTGGTTTTTTTGAGATAGGGTCTTCCTATGTAGTTGAGACTGACCTGGAACTCAGTATGTAGGCCAGGCTGGTCTCGAACTCAGAGCAATCCTCCTGCCTCAGCCTCCTGAGTGCTGGGATTACAGGCGTGCCCCACCACACCCAGCGGATCTATTTAATTTTATATGCTAGGAGTATTTCCATGTTAAATTGTATATATTATATAGGTAGAATTTTATTTTTATAATGTTTGCCTTTTTATAATAGAGTATTCCTATTTCTTGTGAGATAAGTTTCACTGATACACAAATAGTAAATTATTAATCCCAGCATTTGGGAGGCTGAGGCAAGAGAATCGCTGTGAGTTCAAGACCAGCCTGGGCTACACAGTGATTTCCAGGTAGTCTCAACTACATAGTGAGACTCTGTCTCAAAAAAAAAAAAAAAAAAAAAA